GATAACAAAAACACAACACTAACTAAACTTAATTTTATCAGTACAAACATTAGGCAACTAAGTCTATTGATTGAGATGCATGCTCTCAAGTCAGTAATTGTTGACAAATTATGTAACACAATTTTTTGAAAATAAAAAACCGCAAAATAAAAATGCTTGGCAGAGTTTTATTTATATTTTTATTTTATTATATAGAATAAATTTCTAAAAAAGGATTAGTTATTGTTTGAAAATGAAAATTAACGTTAAGGACATAACCCTTTAAAAATTTACATTAAGGATGTAATGAAAAATACTTTGCCAATATAAAAAAACAGCAAGAAAATATATTTTCCAAAACATTTTACAAATAAATTGTTTTCTTTCCAACAACGTTACTATTATGCTGATTAACCAACAAAACATTAAAAAACCTGGAGAGGGTATACACCCCCCCCACACTCCTTTATTGTAACGGCTCTACTTTAGAGTGGTTGTTATTGTTAGCATCAAAATTGGATAAGGCAAATCAAAAAAAAAAGAGTTTAAGGCAACATTAAAAAGAATGTTATTCTTATATTTTATTTGTTGCTTTTTTAATATGAAATATAAGAATAATTTTTTTTATCATATAGTTATATGATAAAAAAAATTATTCGTATATGCTTGTATTACTAATATGTTTTCTTATAGGGAAAATATGCACTTATTATAATAAATTTGTACAAATTTAATATAATAAGTGCATATTCTCCCTATAAGAAAACATATTAGTAATACAAGCATATACGAATAATTTTTTTTATCATATAATTATATTTATTTATTCATAAGGATATGCATGTTTAGCTTAGTCGTATAAGATGCTTACTTCATACACGTAATGTCCAAGGTTCAAATCGCACCACTGCCCTGTTTTTTTTTAAATACCGCTGGTTATACATTTGCTAGGGAACCACTTTCTTTTTTATATATAAAAAAATCTTTTTATTGTATGCTGTTGAATGATACACATCTCTTCACATTCAGATTTTTTGTAATATTTAGGCCTTTCAGAGTATTTTCTTTGTAAGGCGCACACATATATCAGGTCTTTGCGTAAGAGGCGTGTAGTCACATGCCTTACATGATTATGCATTCAATACTTTGTTTTAACAACTTGGCTACAGCTCTTCGCATGTTTTGCGAAGAGCTGTAGCCAAAGTTTTAAAACAAAGTATTATACAGAGCTTTTAAAATATGCACACAAAAAAAATAAAGCAAACTTAATTTAAACATACAATCCATAAACTAAAAAGATAATAAAATTTAAAAAAAATCTAAAAAATAAAAACTAAAGAGTAACAAAATTAATGTAGGAAAATTTATTTATTTATTTTCAGCGTCTTTATTTCCTACAAGGCTGCAAGCAACCACTGTTAGAGTGGGAAGTTACTGGAAGAGTAAAGATGAAGTGTGTAGAACAAGATAACAATTGACAGAAGACTTAAGATATTGCAAATTATATGAATCAGAAAAACAAAATGAAGGAAGCAAAATCCAAAGAACGCGAGTCGTAACGTATGATGTTTTTGTTTATAATTCTCATGGAAGGTGGAAGATTATTAATAGATATGCTTGAGGCGTGTGGAATATATTCTCCAATACTTGATAGTGCATTTTAAACTGGTGTTGCCATCATAGAATTAGCTGCAACCCATTCAGGTGGCATTTGAAAAGTAACGAATGGAATTGTATTTGATTTTGCTTGGGAATTTATTAACGTGTAAAACTGATTAGATGAATACCCTATATTATCTCTTATGGTTTGAATAAAATTTACTAGAATATATCTTTAATTATCATTCCAACCAGCTATAGAATCTGTTTCTCCTTGACTACAAGTTTTACCACAAAATTCTGCGTTATAATGTGATAAAATATATCTAATTCTACGAGTTAAATTTCTAAATTCAGTTCCATAAGGCATAAAATAATCATCACTAAAGCCTTGACCACCTAGCACACATGGAAGTATCATCAAATTTTCATCTGAATTTATAATACTTAATGTATTAATACTCATTTTATATAATCATTATTTTTATTTAATTTATTTTGCATGAATCTGGATCCCGAAGGGATCTATATTGTTTTTACCAAAGTGAATTGATGATGCTATGAAATTCATTTCCATCATTCAGTTTTTTAAAGACATAGAGACACAAATGTCCGCAATAGGAGGTATTTCCAAATTGAACTTGTTCAGTATTATAGTAAACAGGACTGTGTAAGTATTGAACGAGTTCAACTGGTGGTGGTAGTCCATAAGAGTCGAAACTTAGATTCTTATCTCCGTCTTTATACCAGCAAATTCAATGAAATCCATTTGTACTTGAATCTCCAGTATTTAATATTCCACATTCTTTTTTTTTTGTGTATTTTTAGGTAATTCATCTCTTACAAATACATTGTCATACTATCACTTTCATTCCAATCAATCTGAAATGAAAAGTTGGGTTTCTCTTCTAATTTATAATGCCCATATGCTAATGTATGTATACCATCTTCTAAAATAACTATTTTATTGTCTTCTGCGCTCAGTGCTAATTTGTTTATTTTTTCTGTATAAACATCATGTTAATGAGATCTTATGACATTCATTTTTCTCATTTGATCTTTTCTATTCATAAGGCAGTCTTTGTAATCTTCATGTTTAATACATTTTTTAACAACATTTTTCTTCACTCCTTATTATTTTTTTTTATCCATGTACTTTGTATGAATACAATTTTGATCTTTGACCTACAAATTCTTCAATTTGTGCTCCGCCAGCTTTATCTTTAAACTTTCCTAATTCTTTCTTCAATTTCTAATAAATAAGAATTTAGCCCTACTTTAAATCCATTTTGAATTGATGGGTGATTTTTGTCAAATTCACTCAAATCGAATTTACCTTCAACATCATTAGAAATATCTGAATAAAATTCTTTTGTTTTTATTTCGTATGCTAAAGAATTTGTGTCTGTGAATAACAGTTAAGCTCTATCACTATAATTAATCATAATGAAATTCATACATCAATGTCTTACTCAAATCTAAAATACACATACCCAAGTAAATAGGTTTATTATATACAAGTTTTGTTCTTTTCATATGTATTGCTATTAAGTTTTCATCAAATATCGTTCTATTTTCATAGTTTGGTTTTGTTGCTGATTTTAACAGCTTCTTCTCTTTTAGTGACTAGTCTCACATCAACTCTGTTTTCAATGTTCTCCATTGTTTTTCCAAATACTGAGTTATTCATGAGTTTAAAAAACTGTTTTTAAAGTCATTAGTAGCTTTAGATCTCAAATTTGTATTGAGCTTAATGCACTTACTTAGCCATGCACTCTCTTCAAACTTTATGCCTCTGTGAACTTTAGTCAGCTTCATTCCTAACCTTTCATACAATTTCAAGTTTTCATAGTGTATGATATAATTTTTCTTGTTATTTAAATTAGGTACTAATTCAGGAGCAAGTGGATAATCATTATGTAAATCATGTAAATGTTCAGGATATTCTAAATCTACTTCTAATATACAAGAAATAAATTTCCAATTTTTTAATTCTTCATCATTCATCCATTGAAAACCATGCATGGGAAGAGGTTTACTCATAGCCCATTCGTATAAATTATTAGGATCTAGATACTGTATATAAGTAGATTGTTTACTTTCATCATAGGTTTCCATATATTTATTGTTAGCAGTTCCTAGCCTGTTAGAAATCATTCTAATTCCACCTCTTATTCCTTGTTTTATCATTAAGATCATATCATAATCACTTAATAATTTTAATTCTATTTTTGTTTCTTTCAATGCAGCATCCCAAGCTAACCCTGGTGAAGTACCAAGCAGGATCTAATTTATAATTTTTCATACATACATCTCTAAAATTCTCAAAGACATCAGCGAATAATAACACATCTGAAACATTGTTTAATTATGATAATCTCTAAAAGTTTTACAATAAAACTCTTTCTATACAGTTTGTGCATGTGAGTAATTTTCATCAGTAATTCCTTCATCATTTAATCTTGAAAAGAAGAGTTCTTCCGATGGTAATTGTGTTTCATTTAATTTATCAATAGAATCAACCCATTCATAAGGATAAACACCTTTTCTTAATAATAAATCGAGCTCATTTCCTGAATAGTATTTTATATATATAAATAAATCTATAACTATCAACGAAACGAAGTTGTAGTTTAACTTTAATAACTTTAATATCTTTATTTGTATATTCACCAACTATAAGTTCTTTAGAAAAGCTAATATACTTTTCTTCATTGTTAGGAATGCAATTTAATTTTCCTTCTGACAATTTCTTTATGAACAAGTGAGAGTCATAACCAGATAAATTGTGAAATAGTACTGGAATGAACTTTGGAATTTTAAATTGTAAATTACAATCATTATGAGCAGTTCCTCCATATTTACCAGTAATATGACAATGATCTTTTACTCTATCATCTTTTAATTCTTCTTCGCAAATGTGACCTACTTTTGCATTATTAAAACTATTTTTGTCTTCAGGTGTAAATATCATCTTTTTTGGAAATTTCAAATAAGTGTTGTAAATCTTCTTAATATCTGCTTCTAACATATCACAAATTTTTTCGCAACATCATCTTTTTCACTATTTGCAGTGAATGTGACTGGTTTACATACACTTTCATCAAAACATTTGATGAAATATATAAATATATATATATATATATATATATATATATATATAATATTTGATGAATATATATATATATATATATATATATATATATATATATATATATATATATATATATATATATATATATATATATATATATATATATATATATATATATATATATATATACATATATATATATATATATATATATATATATATATATATATATAAATATATATATATATATATATATATATATATATATATATATATATATACCCGAACCCTAACCCTGATATTATTATTAGTAGAGTTATTTATTTTATTTTCTAGTGTATCAAACTCTTCAATTGAAATAGCTGGTGAATAAAGTTATTTATTGGGTCTATCCCAGTTTTTTGAGATGGTAAAGAAAAGGAAAAATATGAATGCAATAACGGTTGAATTTGTGAAGCAGACTGCCATTCTGATGGAAACACTATCTGTTTAACTGGCAAGTCATCTAGTTGATCCACTGAGACAGAGACAGCCAGAAAGATCAAAAATAAGGTTAACAATGATTATAAATACTCTTGAATTTTATAAAAACTTTTTCACAATATTCTAATTACATTACAGTGTTTTTATTTGAATTTAAAAATTGCAACTAAAAAAGCAAATAAACCATAAAAATGAAACAAACAAAAAAATATTATATGTACGAATAGGATAAAAAAATTTTTAAATGTATACTGAATTGGAATCAGAAAACATTGGTGGCTCCCACAATAGCAAAGATAGCGAAGACAGTTCTTCAAAAAGGCTTATTATTTTCTCTTTAAGTTTTGTTGTCTTATAAAAGTTTTCATGTATTTTTTTCGATGTATTAAAATCAATTCCTAAAACATGTATGTACAAAAAATTATACATCTTATCTTGTATGTATCGAAAATGTTTTGGATATCCGGAAAAATTAAAAGTTGGAAAAAATGTCTGAAGTTTTAGAAAGGTTCGGAAAACGATAATTCATAACATATACAAAATCTTTAATAATAAAAAAGCACACCAGAAACAAAATTAAATACAGATCATAGTCATCTCAACTTTACTTAAATTAAATACTCAATACATATTCTGCAAACTTTAGTGTATTGATTACAATACAAATATTTTATTGAGTTGGTTTCAAAATAACCACATTCAAAGGTGGAATGCTCTGCTATTTGCTTTGACCCACACGATTAATAAGTTTAAGGAGTCCATTTTTATGGGTAGCTTTTTTTTAATACAAAGTATTTCATTTTTCAATAAGCGATTTTGAATCAACTCCAACTGAAAAGTACAAAATAAAATGAAAATTTAATTTTTTTAAATTATTTTGATTAAAAAAAATGTTTTTACTAAAACACTCCTTAATTTTTTAATTCCAACAGGGATATAAAATACTTATCTGCAACATGCATGCCGCATTTACATAATCCTTCTGCATTGCCGTTTTTAGAAGGCCATCTTCCGTTAATGTTTGACACAAAATCTAGAACTATCTATAGACCATTTTTTTTAACTTCTCTGACATTATTATGTCACAGTTTTTCAAATCCAGAACTCACTGTCACAGTACAAATTAACAATATAATTCATCTAAAACAAAAAACAATTGTAAAATATAACATTTATTATTTAGAAAATATGCAAATATTGAAGTTAAAATAGTACAAAGACTTTAAGTGTATTAATATATTTTTAAATCAATACAAAAATGTTAACAAAAATTTAAAATTGCAATCCAAATAAACTTTAAAACTTTAGTTTGGTTTACAGACCAATCGGATATTTAAAAAGTAGTTTTTTCTACAAAAAATTATGATTTGAACCGGGGTAACATTATAAACATGTGTGCAACTTTTCTGATAATATCCAAATCTAAAGATTTTTGATGAGTATGGAAGTGTATAGTGGCTTCACATAAGATAAAAGTATTCCACATATATGCAAACAATTAAGACTTGTGATAGTACATAAAACAATGAAATCATCAGCAACAACAAAAGCACAATCCCGCAGATCAGTAGAAATCTTTACAGAGCTCAAATCATTAGTAGTTACTAATCGAAAAACATTTGAGCAAACAACTGCGAGTTAGAAAATGTTTCTACCTGTTTTAACTCGTCTTTATAACAAACCCAACATATTTTCAAATTGAAATGCAGAAAATGAGTCCAAAGGTCCATACTTTGCCACAAACGAAGCTAGATAAGGTAACACATGCATATTATAAAACACAAATCTTCTGCTAAATGATATAGGCATAGACTTAACAAATCTTTCAACACATTCAATATATATTTACTGGTTTATATACACTTTCATCAAAACATTTGATATAGTAACAGAATGAACTTGGTGTATGCTTTTGATATTATATACACTTTCATCAAAACATTTGATATAGTAACAGAATGAACTTGGTGTATGCTTTTGATATTGTTTTGTATAAGATTCATTTGGATTAGGTGTGCAAGTGTTGATAGGTTTAATAAAACTTTCAAAGTCAGCATAGACTACAAAAAGTACTCTCATAGTTTTTTTAAAATGGTTAAACTTTATCATTGTGGCTCTGGAAGTTTAATTTGTACTGAATCATGAGTACAATTTATGCTTATATAAAGATTCCTCAGTACGAAATCCTAACAAGCAATTTCTACAATAAAACATTTCATATTCATTTTTAGATGTGATGAAAGTAATCTACTTAAATTTTTTATTAAGCAATAATGATTAGTTTCATCATTTGAAATGAGTAATAAATCTATTTGGTATTGTCTGTTTTTATTTTCAGATATTCGTAAAGGATAAACTGAACTTTTATATCCAAGTACATTAACACTAATGTCTTGATTATTTTTTTCAAATTGTGTAATTTGATGGAGTGACACTGGGAATTCTATTTTTTCCCAATTTAATTTATTAGCTTGTTCTTTTAGATATTTATCTACTCTTTCAGATTTTTTTTCTTTATTATTAAAAAATCTAGCAACACACCACTTAAATTTGTTGTCTTCATTTTTGATATTAATGATTGCTTTTTTAGCTCCTAACTTTTCAGGAAGAGGAATGTAAAAATTACCTTTAAGTGGTTTATATTCAATCATATTAATATCCATCTTTTCAACAGAAACAAATCTCCAACTTGATCCCGTCGGTTGAAATGTGGACAAGGATTCTAAATTTTTATTTGCAGCTTTTTCATAAAAGTCATTCAAATCTGTTGATTCTAAAACAACCTCTGCTTTTGTTGAAAATCTTTTATATAAATTAGAAACTGTAGATTTTATTGATGTCAATCTCTCATTTGCAGTCTTTTTAATGGGTTCAGGAACATAGGATAAAATCCAATTAGCAAATGAATTAATTTTATTATTAACAATATTAATATACTTACTTGGAACATACTGAGTAGGTGTTAGAGCATTTTGTGAAATATGCACTGGAATGGGTTTGTCTAATATGTGTGATCTTTGTTCATTTTGATCTAACACTTTCATAAGATCTGCTTTTCTCATTCTATAATAGTACTTGATTTTTTCGCTTTTTTGCGATTTTTCTCAATTCTGTTAATTTTATATTTTCCATTTTTATATATACAAGAAAATTATTTATATTATTTTCAATTTTTCATTTTTTTCTTGTAAAGAAATTAAAATAAAAAAACAAAAAAAGTTTCTTTTCATATTTTTATAGATATAAAAAGTCTATAAAAATAATTTTTTAAAATAAATTATTCTACATTTTCTTTTTTATCATATTTAACATTTATTAATTCTATTTTTATACCATTTTCAACTTTTCCATTACGCAAATATAAATATCTATATCCATGTTTTTCCTTTCTGATATAATCATATATAGAATTGTATATTTTAACTTCTCCTGTTTCTAAATTAGTTAGTTTAATAGATGCTAGATTTGTTCTATTTTTATCTATAGCAATCATAACTAATGCAATGTGATCTTTAGATGTTTGTTGTATATTATTTTCTTTTAGTAATTTTAATATATACTTTTTTTGTATATTTTATTTTATCACTCATTTTTATTTTATAAAGAAAATTAATTTAAATTACTTTCAAATAATTTAAATTGTTATGTTTTTCTTGTATATTTTTAAAATTTATTATATTTTTAAATCTTTGCAAATCGTCTTTCTAATCTTTTTAATTCTAATCCTGCTTCAACTACTAGTTTTACATCGTCATCTAATCTTTTTTATTCTGACATTGTTTCTTTTAGTCTAGAAAAGTCTTCTGAACTGAATTCTGATTTTAATTCTTTCATTCCAGAATAGTCTTTTAATCTTTTTAATTCTGATGTTTTTTCTACTAGTTTTGAACAAGCTTCTGAATGTTTTAATGCTAATCTTTCTTCTTCAAACACTAATTCTGATCTTGAATTTAATCTTTCTTCTAATTCTTCTAACACTTCATCTTCAAATTTTAATTTATCTATTATGAAGAAAATCTAATGCATAATTTTAAAGTGGAAGGTGGATTTCTCCCTTAACTAGGATTAGTTGGAAGTTTTTTAGCTTCAAAAATTGTACCTGCTGTTGCAACAGATGCTGGAAGCACCATAATAAATCCATCTTATCTATTTTATTTTGTAACTTGAATATTTTAAGAAAATCTTCTTTTGATACTTTTTTTTCAAAAGACCTTTTTAATATTTTGTATTCAGGTTGAAAAAGAGATTTTCCAAATACTTGAAAATTATTATAGTCTAACCAATCAGGTCTTATAAGTAAATTTAATAATAAATTTGTTTTTCCACAGCCAGACATCCCAACTATAAGTCCTCTTACACTTCTTGGTAATAACTCATTATTATGACGATTATTTTTATTTATATATGACAAATCTAATACTTCCATTTTCTTATATAAAGAATTTTTTATATCGTTTTCAGAGATTTATAATTAAAATGTAATAAAAAAAATAGTAAGTAAATAAAAATGTACTGCCTTAAATGTAAAAGTAATACAGATACACTAAACTTACAACATGCTGTAAGTAAAATTAATAGAAACATGCTACGTGGAAATTGTGCTAATTGTGGTATAACAAAAACTTAATTTACAAAAGGAACTAAAGGAGGTGATTTAGTAGAATCTCTTAATTCATTTACAAAGAATAAAAAGTTACCATGGCCAAAATTTCCAGGATAAATGCATTTACCTGGTGTGAATTTTGCAGGACCTGGCACTAATTTAGATGCAAGATTAACTCCTACTGATGCATATAAAGAATTCAGTAAACCTGTAGATCCAGTTATATTCATGATCTCATTTATAAGCATTTTCAAGATAAAGAACATAGAAATTTAGCTGATAAACAAATGATTGAACAAATGGATGCTATACAAGATCCAACACCACGTGAAAAATTAGAAAAAAAGATTATAAAACCTATCATATCTGCTAAAGCAAAGTTTGGATTAGGTGTAAAGTCAAAAAACTACCGGCAATAAACAAAAAAAGCAAAAAGCTGAAATGGACTAATAAACTTGCAAATAAACTTCATAAGCCTGTAGTAAAGCATTTTAGAAAAAGAAAAGTAATTTCAAATGGGATTGATGACATATGGGCTGCTGATTTAGTTGATATGCAAGCTTTTTCCAAGTTCAATGACGGTGTAAAATACTTATTGATGGTGATAGATGTATATTCAAAGTATGGATGGATCGTTTCATTGAAAAATAAAACAGGAATTGAAGTTGCTAATGCATTTAATAAAATATTTAAAGATAGGAAATGCGATAAATTATGGGTAGATAAAGGCTTGAAATTTTATAACAAACATGTTGAAGCATTAGGAGTGCAGCTCTATTCAACTGAAAATGAAGAAAAAGCCGTGTAGTTGAACGTTGGAATAGAACAATAAAAGAGAAAATGCTCAAGCACTTTTGTGCTAACTCTACTAGAAAATACATTGATGTTTTAAATGAAATGGTAAATCAATACAACAACACAAAGCATTCTTCAATTAAAATGACTCCAGCTGAAGCAAGCAATAAAAAGAATGAGAATATAGTATTTCTAAATCTAAATGGAAAAGTAAGATCAAATCCTATTAAACACAAGTTTTCAATAGGTGATAAAGTGATAATAACTAAAAAGAAAGGAGCGTTTGAAAAAGGATACACACCTAGATGGACAGAAGAAGTATTCACAGTATCACAAGTTCAGTATACAGATCCACCAACTTATAAAATAACTGATCACAATGGTAAAGAAATACAAGGTACTCTTTATGAACAAGAACTACAAAAAACAAATCAAGAAATATTTAGAATTGAAAAGGTTATTCGTAAACAAGGTAACAAATTGTTAGTAAAGTGGTATAGATATCCTGATACTCATGGGTTGATAATAAAAAATTGAAAAATATATAAAAAATATATAAATTGAAAAATCTATAAATAATTATTTTGCATATAAAAACAAGATGCAAAACTCCAATGTAAATGTGAATATATGTGTATCAGCTACTTCTGGCAATGCTAATATAAATACCACTGTAACGACGACAACTTCATCTTATAACAACTTAAAATAGCGCATGCGCACTGACAAGTAACATGACCGAGTATAGCATGGGTTCTTTCAGAACCTGTGACGCCACACAAGAAAATTCCGCGACAACAAAAAGCAAAATTAGCACTAATTTGAAAAATGATTTTTAAATTTTTGTCCAATTTTGTTTACTAAGGTAAACAAAATTGGACAAAAAATTAATACTAAATTTGAATATAACTTCTTGAGCAAAATATTTTGTAAAATAATAAAGGGAAAGACAAAACAAAGAAAATATTGTTCTAACATATATAAATACTTATAAATTACCCTTTTTTTTTAAGTTTCTTATTTTCCTTAAAGTAAAGTAATTTTCATGTTCAGCTAAAATTTATATATAACCTATTAAAATATATAGAATTATTATGTTTATTATAGTTTTCACTTTTTATGGTGCGTTTAACTACACCAATAATATATTTTTATTAGCTTATTATTACTTATTTAATTTTATTACTATTTTATATTATATTTATTTATATTATATTTTATATTTAACTGCTTTATATTTAATTGCTATTTTTAAAGTTTTTAAAAATGTCAAAACAACTTTTATTTTTTATAAGTTTTTTTTTATTTTAGTTTCTTAAAGTTTATAAATTTTTTTATTTGTAAAGAAGTTTAACGAACCTAAGTTAGAAAAATTCACTATTTTGTATCATTGTATAACAATTTACAATGATTAGGTCTTTGCATCATTAATTAGAATGCACTATGGAAATGCGTAAAAAATAAAAAATGATTAAATTTATAAAGCATTTTTGATATACTTATTAACTTCATTAACTAGAACACAAATTACTTAAAAAAAACACTCCTTTATTTAAAATAAATTATTTAAATTATATGTTCATTGATAAATAAAGATACCTAAGTCTAAGTCTAAATTACTTGTCAATCCCTGGAACAGTTAAATAATATTTACATAATAAACCGTTTGTAACGATTTTTTGATAGCTTTTGTACTCATTTTGCCTTAAACCCTAATCTGACTATTTTTTTCAATGATTGCAATAAAGTACTTGACTAATTTTGCAAGCAGTTTAATTTTATAATTTTAATTTTTTAATTTTAATTTTTTAATTTTAATTTTTTAATTTTAATTTTTTAATTTTAATTTTTTAATTTTAATTTTTTAATTTTAATTTTTTAATTTAAATTTTTTAATTTTAATTTTTTAATTTTAATTTTAATTTTTTAATTTTAATTTTTTAATTTTAATTTTTTAATTTTAATTTTTAAGCTTTAATTAGGTCATGCATTCACATTATTCACATAGCCTTAATTGTTTCATACTACCTTTTTATTCCACTACATTTTTTATCCCCATTCTTTTAGAGCTTCGTAATTTTGAATACCTGTTACTTTTTAGCATTTGGTTCAGTGCATTTAGTTTCACCTGCCCCCTCCCTTTTGGTCTACTATGTTATTGGTAAAAAATTATTAATAATAATTGTTATTATTATGCAATATGAAATAATAATAACAGTTAATAATAATTATTCTTATGCAATTATTATCATTAATTGGATAAACAATTAATAAAAATTGTTTTCATATATTTCGCCAATAACTTAGTATACCAAAAGAGAGGGGATGGGTAAAAAAATAAAAAAAACTTTGTTTATCAAGTAAACACATTATCTGAGTAAGTTAAACACAACAGCAAAATCAATTAAAACCAGAACATATATTATTTATTCAATAAAAAATTACCAAATAAGGAAAATTTCAATAAGTGGACTTAACCACATTGGCATCTATTTTGTATGCTTTTAAAACTTAATTTACTACAATTTAATTAAGAATATTTAATCAAATATTTCAAAAAAAGTTGCTAAAGTTTGTTTAATATACTAAATATAAAATGTAGTATATTCAAAAAACAAAAGACTTAGAAAAAATCTAGATTTAAGGGTCTAACATAAATTACATATACAGGTATGAGGGCAGGTGGTTACTCAAAATTGTATGAGTACAAAAAAAGAAAGGGGAGTTGAAGACTGAAAAAATCTCTTTAAAAACTTGATTTCTTCTTGCTATCACGAGTTTAAAATATTTGCATAAGAAAATCTTATATTCAAAGAATCTTTATTTTAAATAACAACAATGTAAAAATGTCAATATTTTTTTTTATCTTATTAAACACTATTAAGATTATCAAAAATGACAATAATGTAACAAAGTTTTTGAACTTACTAAAACTTGAAAATAAATCTAAAGATTGTTCATTGGATTTTTTTGAAGGATTCAGGTTAACAAGATACTTTGATAAACTATTTTCGTTTTTATTGGCTAATCCCAAAATCATTGATAAACAACTCCGTAGCATCTTGTTGGCCATAATTTCATCTCTACTTAAACAATTATATGCATATACAGAGGCACAAAACTCCATTATAGTCAAATGAGTGAACTGATAATAAAAGCCCAGATCTGTTTCAATCTTTTCTATAAATCCAAAAAAAACTTTTTCATTATTATCAAAGTCACTAATTAATGTTTGAATTTCTTCTTTGTAAAAAATTACTTTGTTCTCAACAAACAATTTATATGCAATTTTACAAATATTTAAAATAAGTAATTTATTAGAATCGTTTTCCATGATCTGGTAAATCATTACATTGTTTTTGAAGATATGTTTTCGTAAAAAGTATAAAAAAATATTTGCATACAAATCTGTCATTGTTAAGAATGAATTTGCATTTATCTTGTTTGGATCACTAATAATCTTACACATGGAAGATAAATAAAATGGAACAGATGCCATGGCTTTTGCAATCGGAGATGCCTTTAAGATTGCTTTTACAAGTTCCTTTTTTTCCTCCATAACATTATTTTCTACATAATTTTTAATGCCATTTTCATTAAACCCCATTATTTGAATGGTTAACTTATCACTATGCTCAGCATATCATATATGCTGATATTGATCAATTGCATAAACTCTACCAGCAACCACATGTTTGTACTTTCGAACTTCAGCTAAAACAATTGAATAGTTAGAACTCAAACTTGAATTTATTAAATCATTGAAATATTTAAACTCATCTAATCCATCAATTATAAACATTGCAGTTTGATAATCAATATTGAAGTTATTTATCATATCTTTGTAAAAAACACTTAATAATTCATTAATACTAGAAATATGTGGATATTGATTAAGCCTTCTGAATTCCAAATAAAAAACAAATTTAACATTTTTCCAAATTGTATTATTTGACCAATCAAGCAAACATTTTCTAAGCAACCATGTTTTCCCAATACCAGCTATTCCAGATATTAAAATTACAGACTTTTCTTCCATAAATATTTCACTATATGATTTTGGTGTATAACTCATTTGCTTTTCAAAAAAATTCTTTTGTTCAACACTAGCAACAGCATCCATTTGAGCATTCACTGCATCAACAATACATAAATCAACAAATGTATGTATTAAATCAACATTTGCTGGTGCTTTTAATAGTGGTTGAAGTTCACTAATTTTCCCATAGTTTTTAAGATAAAATTGTTTTAGTTCAACAGACAACTTTGATAAATCTAAATAAAAAAAAATAACTTCATTAAAATCATGGCTTTGCTAATCTTCATAATCATGACGATGTTGATCATTGTATTAATATTTTAATAATATTTTAATTTAAACATAATATTTTATTTAAACATAAAATATTTATAATAATTAAGTCACAAAAGCTTTTGAACTTATTCACAAATTAAAGTAACTTAAAAAAAATTCTTTCTAAAAATATTAGTTTAAAAATATTTTAGAAAGACATGGAAAATAGTTTCAAACATTAAATTTATCATAAAAAAGTCATGTCTACATAACTTATATATAACGTCTTTTAATAACTTACACATGCGTTTATGAAAACATTAACTATAATTATACAGTTTTATTTAAAGCCTTTGCGTAAAATAAAAATATTAGAAAAGATCAACGATTAAAAAGATATTTATAATGTAACGCTTTTTTTATTGCATTTAAATTGTTAAAACATCATAATAGCTATGGTTAAGTTGCAAAGAAAAAAAAATAAGTGTGGTTAGTTACAGAGTTCAATTGCACGCCATTCCTGTCCAAGCCATATATATATATATATATATATATATATATATATATATATATAAATATATATATATATATATATATACATATATATATATATATTAAACATAATATTATATATATATATATATATATATATATATATATATATATATATATATATATATATATATATATATATATATATATTAAACATAATATTTTATATATATATATATATATATATATATATATATATATATATATATATATATATATATATATATATATATATATATATATATATATATATATATATATATATATATATATATATATATATATATATATATATATATATATATTATATATATATATATATGTATATATATATATATATATATATATATATATATATATATATATATATATATATATATATATATATATATATATATATATATATATATATATCGCTTCAAAAACCCCAAACTTTCACAAAAAAAAATCTGGCTATAATCTAAAATTTTTTATTGGCTCTCAGAAGAAAATCAGTTGGATTTGTCAAAAAAAATTTGTTGTTTAAGGTGGGCCATGCGGCCCATGGTCTGAATTTTGTAACTCAAATAAATCTGAATTTTGCAACTTTTATAAAACATGTCATGTTGGGTCTAAAACAAAGCAAAACTATAAAAAAACTTTATAATATTCTGGACTCAGACAAAAAAAGTGATGCTAAGATCCAATATTCTCAGAATACTAAATGTTGTATTTTATCCTAAAGGTTTAGATTCAGAGACTGTAAAATCTCTAAGAATGCCTTTATCCAACCCTCAGAATCAAGTAAAAATGAGGTTGGCAATAATTTGCCAAAAAAATTTATACATAGGTTATACCATAAATTTATTATTATCTTTCCCAAGAAAAAGGCAGAACTATTTGCAAAAAGCTTTTCCTCTAATTCATTTTAAATTTAATGACTACACGCATCATTTGTGTGTAAACAAGTTAAATAAACCACTGCAACTGTTACCAAATCACTTATCATCATTACCAGGGTGTTAACCAGGAATAAATTTGATGCAGCACTCTGATAAAATTCAAAACATTTTCTGATCCCTGCCTGAGACTGAAATGCGTTCAGGGTATGCCTAGGGTCCATTTGCTTATATTTTTTGCTCATCTACTTCACTTCTTGCTACGTTGATTGGACGACGCCAAAAATTAAATAAAATACTGTCTGAAACATTTATTGAAAATGAATATGAAATCAATACAAAATTAAAAGTGGTTTCACAACCACATGGCAATCTAAACTCCAATTGTCAAGAAGTACTTTTACAAAACTTTTTCAATAAAATTTAGTTAAGGCTATTGAGCAGGATTGATCTAAAGACTCAAAAATGATGTTCTTTAGATTCACAAAAGAAGTAATAAATAAATTTTGAAAATTATTTAAAAAAGCCATTCTTTTTCATTCAAAGATTCTATAAACATTCATTCTCATTCATTCAAACTTTTTTCAAACAATTTAAAAACTTGAGGCAAAAAAATTATAACATCTAAAGCTCTTGTTTGGGCATAACATGCTAACAAAATCATGCTAATTTAAACCCAGTTGGCACAGGACATAAAAAAACGCCTTTTAAACGTCTTGAACTTTTGAATGTATTGGTCAACTTTTAAATGTTCAAAAGACGTCCTTTTTAAGTCAAGTATCCACTGAAAAATAAAAGAGTTCAAATAATCTGTAAATCGCCTGAGTCATTAATTAAATTTCTAGTACCAGTTTGTAATAATGGTTATAACTTTTTTTGTATTTAACATGTATTTTAGGTGGCCTTTTAAAAATTTTTGAACTAATATTTATATTCTAGAAATAAATATAAATATTAGTTTTATGTCAAGAAATAAATAAATTATTTAGTAGATGCCGATAAGAAAAAAAAGATTATAGTTATTATTATAGTTAGACTGGAATGACTCTAATGCGATTGCTGACATATAATTTTTTTTGTTGACAACTTAACCAGATGTTTTGATGAAAAATCTAAAAAAAAACTAAAAAAAAATATTTCGATACAAAAAGAAATTATATAAGATTTAAAGTAAAATTCAAAAAACTCAAAGTCGAAGCAAAAATTATTTTTTTTTAATTGCGTTTGAAATAAATTAAATACTTATAGTTTGAAAAGCTTTACTAAAGTTATGCAAAATGCTTTTAAATATTACTTTTAGTGACTGTAAATAGATAAAAAATTTTTTATCTAAATTATTAAAAAGTGAAATTATACTTTTGAAAAGGAAAAAATATAATATTTTTAAATTGTTTAAGCATTTTTTCCAAAAAGTTGCAAAAAAGAAACAAAATAATTAAAAAAATAATAATAATATAGTCTTTATGAAATAGTAATTTTTGAGTATTTCATACTCTGAGTAAGTAAGTTAAGTTTTTTAAAAAAAACCAGTTAGACAATTATTTGTAAAAATAAAAACTAAGATATATAGTAATTAAATCATTCCATTGCAATAGAAAGACTTAATTTAACTTATTCATAATTTAAAGTAATTTAAAAAATTGATAGCGTGGTCATTTACAGTTTACTATCACATGCCATTCCTGTTCAAGCTTTTATGAGATGCTAATGAAAAAGTTTACGAATTCAAATACTCCATAGAGAACTTGTTTAATTTTAAATCTCAAGTTTCTTTAAAAAAATTTATTCCAAAGTTGTTTTATGTTTTTAAGTTTTATTGTTAATTATTATTATTTTTTTTTTTGAAAGTTTTAGTTTATTTATGCTACTGCTACTGCCATAAGCTACTGCCATAGTCACAGTGGAGTATGCATACATTAACTGACTTATATAGGTCTAGGCGCATTGTAGTGTAAACGCATCAACTAAGGATTTTGATTTTGGCAGGCATTCATTTATATTAAAGAAAAGTATTTCAATACTTATTCAAACTTAATAATATTTAAATTTATTGAATTTATATTAAAAAATTATTAAATTAAATTAATCTAATATATAAATTAAATTTTTAAATTAAATTACAATGGATTTTTAGGTAAAACAGTCATTAAAAATAATTATATACAAAAACGAAAAAAATTGCGCACAACTGTACGCAAATAATGACAATGTACATATTGCGTACAAATACTGTATTATGTACAAATAAACCTAACTAAATATAGTGTAGAGTAATAGATAAACGATAGGTTTACTGTTTCAATTAATGATGACAAAGTTACATAAAAATAAAAACATTAACTTGTATTTCTTATCTATTTGGATATCCAGAGAAATAAAAATTTGAAGAAATATCTGGAATTCCGAAAAAAAAAATCTTTGTAAGTAAAGGCTAAAGATGGTGTCTCAATAAAAATACTTCTCAAATACATAAATGTTTATTGTAATAACCAAATTTTTTCTTACTAAAAAACCAAATTAAAAGCATTTATAAAATAAAGGAAAAAACTTTCAACAAAAATTACCTGGCTTTGGGTTGTTTAATGTAGTTGCAAAATTGATAAGCAAAGCTATAGAAGCACCAAAAACTGCTAACAAAGCTATGTTTCTTAAAATTGAAGGTTCTGAAAAGTAAAGAAAATAAAAAAAAACTTTTGTATTAAAAATTTTAAAGTTTAATTTAAGATTTCTCAAAAAACTTTGAATATAAAAATTGATTTTTATTTATGCTGTAACTTTATAGCATACATAAAATATATTTATAAATGTTATTAGTTTGACAGATTCAATTTTTTTTTTTTTTAATAAGCTGATGAGACACTCTACACTATTACTTCATTTTGATTTTTTAATGAATTATAAAAATATTTTTTTTGTGTAGTTTGTTTTGATTTTGATAAATTGTATTGTTAAAATCTTAAAAATTTTCTTAAATAATTTGGTTAAAAAATCATTACAATTAAATCAAACCCATTAAAAAAACATTATTGATCATTGTTCATTATGTTCCCCAGAACTGACTTCATTACACTCTACATTTTAATTTAAATTTTTTCAAAATTAAGTTATGATCAGCCTGTGATCATCACAATCACACTGGTTATTCAGTATGATATGTTGCATGTTCTGCTACTTTCTAGGATTTGCTTCCTAAAGGCTAAAAAAAGAGTACTTTCTATTTCAATACTATCTAATATCTATTTTTGGTATTTATTTTTATAGTTAGTATAGTTAGAGAAATCTAAGTTACTGTGTTAGCAAATCTGTAATTTACTATATATGTATGTTTGTGTTTTGTCTGGACCTCTAGAATATTACTCACCTGTACCCACAAAATAATGGCAGGAACAAAATAATAATAATAATAATAAGTAGTAATGCAACAGTAATCTTAAAAATATAATTTTAAAAATGGTAAAACAATAAAATAAAAATAATGTTAAAAAATAAAAATAATTTAAAAATTCAGCAGATATTCCTCTGCAATCCTTGGAATTAGAAAACATAAGTTCGGCAATAAATTACGGATCTCAAACTGTTAATGGTCGGCATTAGGATGGCAAAAAAAAAATTGACACAAAAGGGTTACCATAAAACACAAAAATGACGTTGGGAATTTTTAGCCGACCTCAAACACTTTAGGGTTGGCAATAAGGTCAGCATTGTCAAAAGCTGACACTAATTGATGCAAATAAGGGTTATCTCTGTGTTAACATTGAGGTTATTGATCATATAATGACACAGACACAACTTCAATTTGTTTGTTTTAAATATTTAATGGAGAAAAAATTAAATGATAATTCTCAAATAAATAATATTGTTCCTTGGAACAATATTATTTTATCTCCTTTTTTTAGATTTCCCAAATAAATTCAGAGTTCAGTAGAATTAGCTTTACTTTCATAAAGAAATCATTTTTATGTAAGACTTATCCTATAAGTCCAATATGGTAAAGTAGGGTTAGAAAAAAAAATTATAATACTTTATATATTATAAATTTATGCTAACAATTATTATTTGTTAAATACTGCCATAAATTTATATATTTTCAAACTCTAATTTACTTGCAACAAAATTGCAAGCAACCACTATTTAGTTATGAGTTACTTTAAAATAGAGAATAAGTAAAAATACTAGGAAATGGTTAACTGAAGACATAAAAAGTTGTAGGTTGTATATAAAAGAAAAACATGATGATGGTTAATAGTTATAAGGTTTTTTTGATTTGCAAGGAAAATAAACTAGATTAATAAAACTTTTTGTAGCATGAAAGGACAGATACAGTAAAAGGATGCAACTTGTTGAATAGGAAACAAGCAAGAATGAGTTTTTGTATATCGTAATAGAGATGATAGCTTGTTTGAGCATTGACCATAATTGTATTTGTAGAAAAAAGAAAGAAATGCAACCTTACAACAATGGGAGAGTGGCTCAAGCTTGGAAGATAAAGCAGGTCTTATTACATTTACTATGTGTTTTAGACTTTGCCTGAGGGCAAGAAGGTTGTTATTTATAAATATAGTAATGCCAACAATATTGCAATTTTTTTTGCAGTAAATAAACAAGTTTTTTTGTCTAACAAAAGTTGTGGATTGTAAATCCAGACTTGAAATCCACAAGCCACTGCAATTCTTAGGCTGTGACACAAAAAAGTGAAGACTTTTAGTCAAGAGAAGATTATTAACTTGAGTTGTCAGGAAATAGAGCCACTTTGGATTTTATGAAGATAGTTATTGTAGATAAGAAACACTACAGGAGCAAAGGTAGAACCTTGTGGTACACTTAAAGTTATTTAGAATAAAAATACTTAGAATAAATGGTAGGCCTTCAATAAAAACTTTACTACTACAGTTAGATAAAAATCATTTAAAAACCTCAAAACCTTTACATGATGAAATTAATAAGATAATAAAAGGTATTTGTAGGATAGTCTAAGAGGTCAAAGTGTTTTCTAGAGTTTTGAAAAATTGGAACCGCTAATTTAGCACTTTATAAAAGTTTAGCAATAAATGAAAAAAGTTCTGGAGAACACTTTTTAAAGACTATGATGGAAATCTATTTTAGAGCATCATTATCATCATCAGGCTTTAGCATTCTCATTTTATGTTGTTGATGATAATGATGATTGTGATCATGATGATAATTATTATGATTGATCATCATTATTATGATGATGATGATGATCATCATCATCATACTTCAGCATTCCTTTTTTATGTTGTTGATGATGATGATGATTGTGATCATGATGATAATGATGATGGTCATCATCATTATCATGATGATGATCATCATCATCATCATCATGATAATAATGATGATTATGATAATCATGTTGATCATAATGATGTTTATATATATGCATATATATACAAAATATAACATAAGTTTTAAATAAAAAAAATATATTTTTATTATATTTTAGGATGCATAAATGTTCATGCAACCCCGGTCACAAACCCGGCTCCGGCCCTGGCTATATTCTATCAAACCTGGCCCTGGCCCAATATTAACCCCAGTTGTTTACTATATTCATATACAGCAAGTGATTAATTGCTCTGGCTACAAATATAATAGTTTGTTGCAACTTCTTGACCATTGTTTTTCAGATATTTTAATTACTTGCTAAAAGACATAATTTAATTCAAAGTTGAGGGCAAGTTGTTGTAATGAAGTATTATAAGGATGGTCAAGCAGAAGATTCAATTGTTTGCTACGCCTTTTAAATTTTACTGCTTCAATCATTTATTGAAAAAACTTTTTTTTGTATACTAAGGTGTAAAAGAAAAAAAAAGTTATTAGAAAAAACAACATAAAAAAAACAACATAAAAAGAAACTAAATAATAAAAACTTTAATGTATCATCATGCGGAGACAAGTACTGAAAACTTTGTTTAATAAAAAAACCTTTGCTTGAATTTTTATTTAATATAAAATAAAGTAACAAAAAAAATTTCATTTCATTTTACCTTATTTTATATTAAAATATTTAGTTTTTATTTTGTTAACATTATTATTATAATGTAATAATTGATTTATTTTTGCTTGGAAAAAATTTATACTTCTAGCTCATAGAAATGATTATAATAAATAATTCTGATAAAAAAAAAAAACATGATTTAATATAAAACTGCAAATCCTTAAATTTTTTAACCATAAAATATGAAAAACTTACAATAATATATTATAAACTCACATAAAATAGGTAAGGTGTCACTCATATAGTTAAAAACTAGTCAATGGAGTGACAATTAAAAAAAAAGAAAACAAAAAGAAAGTAAAGAAAGTAAAATAAAACAAAAAGAAAAAAAAGAAAGTAAAATAAAGCACTAATATATAAAGATAATAATGATAATTGCAATAAAAGTAGTATAATAGAAATAATAATAACAATAATAATAATAACAGCAATAATAATAATAGCAATAATAATAATAATAATAATAATAACAGTAATAATAATAATAATAATAATAATAATAATAATAATAATAATAATAATAATAATAATAATAACAATAATAACAATAAGAAGAAGAAGAAGAAGAAGAAGAAGAAGAAGAATAAAAACAATTAAAAAATATGATAACTTTACTAAAAATTATAACTAATGATTAAAAATATGGTTAAAAAAAATTATAGCCAATTTTATAACTATGACAGAAATTATAAAAATAAACATAACATTTGTAAAAATTATGGCAATAACCATAAAACTATTACTACAATGGAATCACTATTACTAACATTATAAGTAATATTAATGAGGCTTCTAAAACAAAGATAAATTAATGATAATAGTAATAATAATAGTAGAGCTAAAAATAGACAGAATAAAATATAGTAATAATAGTTTTATAAATACAGTAATATAAAAAAGAAATAATAATAAAAGATAAAAATTAATTCATAAGAGAACAGGCAAAAAGGACGTCACCATTTTTTACCCAACTGTTAACACCCTCCCCCCTTCCTTTGTCACCGGTTGTCCTTATTCCCTATACCCACCTTGAAAAAGATGTCATAAAATTTTGACCCCCCTCCTTATTTTTAACCCCTAAAAAATTTATTTTATCTTGCAATGATGTTTGAATCTGCTGCTACACCTTTGAAAAACAAAGTTAAAAATATTCTCATGCATTATCTTCTTAAAAATACATGTTTACATAGTTTTCCATGTTGATTAAACTAATATAAAAAATCTATAAAGTGACATCCTTTTCTGACAACCTCCCCCCTTCCATTGTCCTTATTAACTCGACCCTTACCCCGCTTCTTTTTAGATGACGCCCTTTATGGATGGCCCCTCAGATATACTCAAAAAAAAGATTTCTTTTATCTGCCATATATACTTTAAAAGGGTGGTTGAATTTTTCATCTTTTTGTTTGTGAATGAGTGTTTGTGGTTAGTCCATCTTTTCTTCCCTTTCACCTTCTGCTAGGCCAATAAATACTTTTTCTGGAGTGTTAGAGGGGGGGGGGGGGGATACTATACATTTATAAATAACGTTTGATGCTCTGTATTTTCCTAATTTAGGGCAGTTTTCTTTATGTTTTGCAATTGATTTTCTTGTTGTGGCTTTTTATAATTCTTTCGATATTTTTGGTGCAGCCAAAAGAATCGAAAGAATTTTTCAACTGTTTTAGCTACTAGCTTTTCCTAAAGAACTGAGAACCACCATAGCATTACCAACTAGAACTGAGAACCACCATAGCATTACCAACTTGTAGTCAAAAAGCTCAAAAATTTAGATGGAGATTTAGATGCTTCAATGAACAGTTCCATGTCTGCTGCCTCCTCAAGCAGAACCTCAACTCCAGTTAAGTGCAATGCATCTCATAGCCAATTTGAAGAAATTGATTCAGAAGATGATAAAGATCAACTTAATCAGATCTCAAGTGGTTCAAGTCAGAGTTTTGACGATCATGATGATTACACATCACCCTGACTTCAAACAAAAGCAACTTTAAGGTGCAGTTATTTATTCTTTGGAAACATTAAATATCTAATAGTCTTATCCTTTTACCAAAATCTTATAAACACAACTCATTCCAGTATAACTTTTAACAATTAAAATCTTTGTAAGAAAAAGCATGAGATATTTGGAAAAATAATGAGCATGAAGATATTGTTAAAAATAGTACGGTTAACATTTTGTTTTATTTTCAGGCCTTAAACGCATCAAGAAAAATCTCTGTTTGGCTCTTCGTTTCGTCATCATTAATTTTTTTATGTTGGTTCTTCAACTTTTCAAGACATTAACTTTTTTATTTAAGAATTATTATGTTTAACTGTTTGTGTTACTAAAGTTAATTTTCATATATATTTTAAGTTCTTTTGCAGCATTAAAATCAAGAGAAAAAAAAAAAAACGGGCTGAATAAAATAATTTATGAATGTTATTTTTCATAATAGTAAGGCTATCATCAGACAAGTAATATTTTGCGGCCATTTGGAGCTTAGAAATACATAACAAGATAGGTGATGCAAAATCTAAATATGTAAAAAATATTGCAAATAAAAATACAAAAATAATAGTCAGAGAAATCAAAAATAATAGTACGTCAGAGATGAATACAAATATGTTAAAATATGTTAGTTTTTCTACTTTTATGTAAAGTAATACACTACAATAGTTATTATAATTGTTTTTATCAAAACAATACAATAGTTATTGTAATTTTATTTCATTAAAACAATACAATACAATAGTTCTCGAATTCTAATGTATTGTTAGAAAAAAAACAATACAATACTCATTGTAATTGTTTTCCATCATAGCAATACAATACTAAAATCAAAATTTTTTATTGTTTCTGTAATATTACAATACAATATTATTGTATTGTAATGTGTAGTTGTATTTAATTTTTACAATTACAATTACAATAGTCCTAACCCTAAATCTATCGTTGATAGAAATGGGAATTTGCTTTATTATTTGCGGAGTATGGTTGAAATTTATTTGGTTTTTTGAAAGGTTAATAGGAGTTTTTTTTCGAAGTTAAAGGAGTCATCTACGAAGTTGACTGCGGTTAGGTTTGTTTGGATCTCTATTTTAAAACCAATCATTTTTATTATGTTTTTTGTAGGCTATCAATTTGTGATCCAGTTTTTTTACAAAGTAACATCAAACCATTGTAATGATATAGTCCAAGGTCTTCTTTATTTATTATTTTAGATAGTGAGTCAAATATATGTAGGCCCACCAGTTTATAAACTTCTGCACCATCAAAATAACCCACTGTGACATCAAAGCATTTATGTGTTATTATGTACCGTGTTTTGTTCCATGTTTAATGACTCAGATGTTCTTTTCACTAACACTTGCGTGTTTTTTTTGCACAACTTTAAAATACTGAGAGTTAACTGAAAGTTTAATGTTTTGTGTAAATTTTTAATGCAGCCCTTGAACTTGTATACAAAAAAATTTTTATCATAAAGCAAGGAAAACTAAAAAAATAAATGCAATAAAAAAGGGCTAATTTTTAATTAATTAAAACTTTATATAGTTAAAATAAAAGAAATAACATTTGAATATATAAATTAATAAATAAATAAAAAAAAATATATATATATATATATATATATATAGAGCGCTTGCTTTATAAGCAGGAGATATTGGTCCGAAACTAGCCTTGGACATATTTTCGCGTCACGGTAAGGAAGGAGGCGTGAACGTCCTGGTTAAATGCACTTCCACGGTGCTCTGTGACAAGACCGTTAGGTCTTCTTGGGACACCTAAATAACAAAAAAAAATAAAAGTGCAGCTATTTAAGATCTACTGCCTCTTTTATGATGTGGCTCTATGGACTAATTTTGGTGCAAATATTATTTTAAAGTTAGATTTTTGAAACAAGAAATGTCCAAAATAGTTTTTCTGATATGTCAAGAACTTAACAACTACAAATAGGCTAGCCTAATCTTGATACTTTAGTGCATAACTACAGATTTAGTCTGATAAATCAGTTAGTTACGTGTGCCAGCAGCAATGCAGCTGTGTATAGATTAAATAAAACTTCTAATGTTTTTTTTCTTATCTTAACTACGGACCTCGTATTTCTCTTAATTAAATAAATAAAATAAGTGTTATATATATATATATATATATATATAAATATATATATATATATATATATATATATATATATATACATATATATATATATATATATATATATATATATATATATATATATATATATATATATATATATATATGTATAATATATATATATATATATATATATATATATATATATATATATATATATATATATATATATATATATATATATATATATATATATATATATAATATATATATCCTTATATTGTAATGAAAAGACACTTTAAATGTAAAAAAAGTCTCTTTCAGCTACAATTGTGGTACCTCGAAAATTGAGCTATATTTTTTTGTTGTCAAAGTGTTGAAGCAATTAAATTAATGCGGAAGTACATTAAATTTTATTGTTTTTTGAAAAAACCACAATAATAATGACTAGAAAGTTTTTTATAATTAATAGTGCTTTTGTTGTTGTTTTATTAAAATGTATTTTTAAAACATGTGCGGAGTGTTGCTACATCGACTATCTTACTGCTTAAAAACTATTTGAATAAGATATTAGGAAATACAGAGATTATTAGCTTTTGAGCTAGAAGTGTTAGTAGAGCGAGAGCCAAGTGATTTAGAGCATTAACGTCATCAATAAAATAAGACAAATACAGTCAAAATTACTTACTTCTTCAATGCCTTGATTATTATAATATACTTTTAGGAAACTTTTTTTACTTTTAGAAAGCCTTTTTTTGATTTAAGAGAGACTGGTACAAAAGGTTTTGAAATTTGGATTTTTAAGGTATTTTTTTTATAATATATATGACCAAATTATATAATTTGGATCATATATATTTTATTATTAAAACAATGAACATTGTTTTAACTTTGTCAGGACTATTTGTTGTAATATTTTTGTGAAATTTATTATAAATTAAGTAATAACTTATTTAAATTAAAATATTATAAGATATTGACAGATATGTTTATTTAACTTTATTTGTTTAGATATGGGAAAAAAAAATTTGAATTTTATTTAAAAAATGAATTCCACTTATAACGATGCTCCTGAATTTTTTTCTTTTTAGTTAAATATAATTGATGTTTTTTATAACAGAACTGTTGTTTTTTTACATTTAAGTTTAAAAAAAAGAGAAAACCAAAAAAAATTTGGCTTATCTAATTAGCACTCCCTTATTGTATTATAAATACAAAAAAAAAACTTTTTAATAACCATGTAAGTCTATAAATAAAATAGGTGCATAAACGAACAAAAATTTAGCAACAAAACATTGCTGTTTTTAAAAAAATGTATTATTTTTATTTACATTTATTCTCATTAAAAAATAATTACTTGTCAACTCATTAACTCTTTCTATAAGGTCCATTCTTCTCATATTCCTTAGAGCTGTTATTAACTTGATAAATGTTGGGTTGTCATTCATTTGAATCCATTTAGTTAACATTAAATAAGCTTTTTCATTAGTGTTATTATTATCTTCATTAATACTTTCTAAAGAGCTTTCATCAATATTTAACCAACGTCCAAGAGTTCTCCAATCTCTTCCAACACTTTCAGAAAATCTTAATTTGAATTCTTGGCTACGAATAAAGTTTTCATCTATTCGGAAATATGTAAAAAATTGACCCATTTTAAT